GTGTCTGGTAACCCTCCTCCTCCTCCTCCTCCTCGTGTCTGGTAACCCTCCTCCTCCTCCTCGTGTCTGGTAACCCTCCCTCCTCCTCGTGTCTGGTAACCCTCCTCCTCCTCCTCCTCCTCGTGTCTGGTAACCCTCCTCCTCCTCCTCCTCGTGTCTGGTAACCCTCCTCCTCCTCCTCCTGAACTGTGATGCTTGCTTCTCTCAGATCTCGCCAGCTGATGGGAGGATCCTCCACTTCGGTCGGGTAGAGAACTCAGAGGTGGAGCAGGTGAAGGGGGTCACCTACAGTCTGGAGAACTTCCTGGGTCCACAGAAGAGGCGAGGCAACGGTAAGACCACGCCCACTCCACCATGACGCATGTGACATCACGGATCCATTAAAAATCTGTGACTCAAACAGTCAGACACAACAGTCTTGACCTGGACCTGGGATTTGTTGGTCTTGACCTGGGACTTATATTTACATTTATTCATTTAGCTGACGCTTTTATCCAAAGCGACTTACATTTGCTCTACATGTCAGAGGTCACACGCCTCTGGAGCAACTAGGGGTTAAGTGTCTTGCTCAGGGACACAATGGCATAGTCTTATCCATTGCGCAATTTCCACCAAGTTGGTCTGGACCTGGGACTTGTTGGTCTGGACCTGGGACTTGTTGGTGTGGGACTTGTTGGTCTGGACCTGGGATTTGTTGGTCTGGACCTGGGACTTGTTGGTCTGGGATGTGTTGGTCTGGACCTGGGACGTGTTGGTCTGGGACTTGTTGGTCTGCACCTGGGACTTGTTGGTTTGGATCTGGGACTTGTTGGTCTGGGACTTGTTGGTTTGGATCTGGGACTTGTTGGTCTGGGACTTGTTGGTTTGGATCTGGGACTTGTTGGTCTGCACCTGGGACTTGTGGGACTTGTTGGTCTTGACCTGGGACTTGTTGGTCTTGGCCTGGGACTTGTTGGTCTTGGCCTGGGACTTGTTGGTTTGGGTCTGGGACTTGTTGGTTTTGATTTGGGACTTGTTGGTCTGGGACTTGTTGGTCTTGACCTGGGACTTGTTGGTTTTGATTTGGGACTTGTTGGTCTGCACCTGCGATTTGGTCTTGACCTGGGACTCGTTGGTCTTGACCTGGGACTTGTTGGTCTGCACCTGGTACTTGTTGGTCTGGACCTGGGATTTGTTGGTTTTGATTTGGGACTTGTTGGTCTGCACCTGGGATTTGGTCTTGACCTGGGACTCGTTGGTCTTGACCTGGGACTTGTTGGTCTGCACCTGGTACTTGTTGGTCTGGACCTGGGATTTGTTGGTTTTGATTTGGGACTTGTTGGTCTGCACCTGGGATTTGGTCTTGACCTGGGACTCGTTGGTCTTGACCTGGGACTTGTTGGTCTGCACCTGGTACTTGTTGGTCTGGACCTGGGATTTGTTGGTTTTGATTTGGGACTTGTTGGTCTGCACCTGGGATTTGGTCTTGACCTGGGACTTGTTGGTCTGCACCTGGTACTTGTTGGTCTGGACCTGGGACTTGTTGGTTTTGATTTGGGACTTGTTGGTCTGGGACTTGTTGGTCTTGACCTGGGACTTGTTGGTTTTGATTTGGGACTTGTTGGTCTGCACCTGCGATTTGGTCTTGACCTGGGACTCGTTGGTCTTGACCTGGGACTTGTTGGTCTGCACCTGGTACTTGTTGGTCTTGACCTGGGACTTGTTGGTTTTGATTTGGGACTTGTTGGTCTGCACCTGGGATTTGGTCTTGACCTGGGACTCGTTGGTCTTGACTTGGGACTTGTTGGTCTTGACCTGGGACTTGTTGGTCTGGGACTTGTTGGTCTTGACCTGGGACTTGTTGAAGATTGATTGTGTCCCTCTTTCTTTAGAGTCCTCGTCGTCCTTCAGGGACCTCCTCCTGTCGTCTCCTGACAACGACCTGTTCCACGTCGTGGTCTACCTGGCTCCAGGAGACTATCACTGTTTCCATTCACCTACAGACTGGAGGGTGGAGCTTCGGCGTCACTTCCCAGGTGAGAGTCTGTTCACCTATTCACCTTTCTGGTGTCTGCGCTCTACCTGCCCTTCATCTCTCTCTCTCGTTAGGCTCGTTAATGTCGGTTAACCCGGGCGTGGCTCGTTTGGTCAAAGAGCTCTTCTGCCTTAACGAGCGTGTGGCGCTCACCGGCCACTGGCAGCACGGCTTCTCTCATTAACAGCAGTCGGAGCCACAAACGTGGGCTCCATCAGGGTTTACTTCGACAGGTGAGTTTGAACCGTTTCTACTTTAATAAAACCTTGTTGTTGTGTATTTTAAAGTATTGCAGTATATCTGTTCTTTTCCTTCAGTCGGCCAATCAGAGGAATTAATGACATAAATATTTGGTATTTAAATATAAATATACCTTTGTGTTTAATATATTTAGTTTCAGCAGTTTTGTGTTTCGTCCTCAGGAGCTTCAGACCAACGCTCCTCGCTACAATAAAGGCTCCTTCGATGACCACAGCTATGTTGCCATCGGCGACCAGGCCTTGAAGGCGTCTAGTGAAGGGGGCGTGGTCTCAGCCGATGGAGGGGGCGTGGTCTTACAGAAGGGGGCCCCCGTGGGGGAGTTTAACCTCGGCTCCACCATTGTTCTGCTGTTCGAAGCTCCTAAAGACTTCACCTTCAACCTGCAGCCAGGACAGCGAATCAGAATGGGAGAAGGGCTCGGTAGCCTCTGATTGGCCAAGCTGCAGACTCAGGGGGAGGGGCCTGGTGACTAGGAACTGCTGGGGACTGATGAATGTCAGACAGATATTAAGACTTTAGGGCATTGTGGGTAATTTTCTCTGTAAAGAAGACGCTGTTATGAACCTGAAGATGTTTTTATGACAAGGACTCAAACTCCCAGAATGCCTTGTGCCAATCTTTTCTCTCTATTTTTTTTTCTATTCTGTCTCAAAGTCGCTCGTCCTGAAACTAAATTGAAATATTCCTTTAAATCAGCGAAAAGAAAACATCAGATCAAATTTAAGTAATATGAACCCAAAAATAATGAAGTCAAACCTTCATATTATTTAACAAACTAACATTAATTCAAACATTCAAATTTACACAAAGTGAAATAAAAAGTTCCTCCGTCCTCTGAAACTGTTTGAAGCTTTGTTGTTTTGATTATTTCTGTTCTGAACCAATCACTGCTGTCACAGTTGTTAGCATCAGCTAGCACACAAATGTGAAGCAGCCACAGGATGTCTGTGATTGGTCACAAGAAAACCGTGACGTTAATAATAATAATTTTGTGTTGTGTGAAACTGCGACCATGCTAAAGAACAGGTGACACGTCTCACCTGAACTCTTATCAGCTTTTGTAAAAAATGTGATGATGAATAAACGTTTCATTCTCAGCAGCGTCGTCTTTGTTCCACTTCTGTATTTACATGTTAGTGCAGTTACTCACAGGCAGCGAGTGCCTGATGAGTACTTGTATCTGGTGAAACCAGATGGTTAATTATGTGGTTAAACTTTTCTTTATGGTCAGAACGTGACAACACTTGATGCCAAACAGTGGATCACTTCACAAATCTGAGGTCTATTTTTTTTACTACAAATATGATTAGTTAATCTTTTTTCAGGCCTCTTTTTTTCAACAAAATACATATTTTGATAGAAATATTAAGTGCTAATTTGTTCGTGATTCAAATGAATTAAAGCAATTATTCATTGATGATATATTGAACATTTATTCTATTGATATTGAGGAAAATTATATTGCGATAATCATCATTGTACTTTTATTGCCCAGCCCTACTTCTTAGTGTTTCACTGTGTAGTATTGATGATGATCAGAGTACTTCCATCACTGATATCTAAAATATTCAAATATATAACACGATGTACAATATTAAACAATAACTGCCAGCAGCTGAAGACAAATCGATCAAAGGTCTGCGTGGTGCCCTACCTGGTGGTCTGCATGGTGCCCTCCATGGTGGTCTGCATGGTGGTCTGCATGGTGCCCTACGTGGTGGCCTGCATGGTGCCCTACGTGGTGGCCTGCATGGTGCCCTATGTGGTGCCCTACGTCGTGGCCTGCATGATGGTCTGCATGGTGCCCTACCTGGTGGTCTGCATGGTGCCCTATGTGGTGCCCTACATGGTGGTCTGCATGGTGCCCTACGTGGTGGCCTGCATGGTGCCCTGCATGGTGGTCTGCATGGTGCCCTACGTGGTGGCCTGCATGGTGCCCTATGTGGTGCCCTACGTCGTGGCCTGCATGATGGTCTGCATGGTGCCCTACCTGGTGGTCTGCATGGTGGCCTGCATGGTGCCCTCCATGGTGGTCTGCATGGTGCCCTACGTGGTGGCCTGCATGGTGCCCTCCATGGTAGCCTGCATGGTGCCCTACCTGGTGGTCTGCATGGTGCCCTCCATGGTGGTCTGCATGGTGCCCTACGTGGTGGCCTGCATGGTGCCCTATGTGGTGCCCTACGTCGTGGCCTGCATGATGGTCTGCATGGTGCCCTACGTGGTGGTCTGCATGGTGGCCTGCATGGTGCCCTACGTCGTGGCCTGCATGGTGCCCTATGTGGTGCCCTACGTCGTGGCCTGCATGGTGGTCTGCATGGTGCCCTGCATGGTGGTCTGCATGGTGGTCTGCATGGTGCCCTACGTGGTGGCCTGCATGGTGCCCTATGTGGTGCCCTACGTCGTGGCCTGCATGGTGGTCTGCATGGTGCCCTACGTCGTGGCCTGCATGGTGGCCTGCATGGTGGTCTGCATGGTGCCCTCCATGGTGGTATGTTTGGTGCCCTACGTGGTGGCCTGCATGGTGGTCTGCATGGTGCCTTACCTGGCGGTCTGCATGGTGCCCTATGTCGTGGCCTGCATGGTGCCCTACATGGTGCCCTACGTCGTGGCCTGCATGGTGGTCTGCATGGTGCCCTACGTTGTTCCCTATGTGGTGGTCTGCTTGGTGGCCTGCATGGTACCCTACGTGGTTCCCTATGTGGTGGTCTGCTTGGTGGCCTGCATGGTGCCCTACGTGGTGCCCTACGTCGTGGCCTGCATGGTGGTCTGCATGGTGCCCTACGTGGTTCCCTACGTGGTGGTCTGCTTGGTGACCTGCATGGTGCCCTATGTGGTGCCCTACCGTGGTGGCCTACAGGTGGTTTGCGAGGTGGTCTGGACCCTGTTCAGTCTAGTTATTTGTTTGTATTCAGTCTGAATATCTTTGACAGAATGTGGAATTAATTCACGTACTTGCTTGTAAATGTGATGAAATGATCAGTCAGGATTTCAGGAACACGTTTATTAGCAGTTTACATCTATCAGAGCAAAAAACCTTCACCAACAGAAAGGAGAACTAAAGACAGCACACTCATTGGTCCGTCCTAGCCCCGCCCCGGGCAGCAGAACCAGCAGCACAACCAGTAGGACGGCGGCGGGCAACAGTTGCCGTAGCGATGGAAACGTGGCTCAGCCAGACCTCCGTGCAACCAGCCGTCATCGGGGACTTCTTTCCCCAACCACAGCTTCCCGTCCTGAGCCGGGTCACTGGGTGAAGCCCCCTCCCTGCGGCCGGAGCTCCAGGAGGACAGGGAGCCTGAGGAGGCGCAGGTCTGCTGGGCCTTCACTCCCAGGAACGAGGCCAAGTCCAGGTCCAGACCTGCTGCTCCTCCTCTGGGCCGAGGCGTGTTCTGTCGACACTGAGGACACGGGATCCACACCTGGGGGGGGGGGCAAACAGGTGAGTGTTTAACTGTAAATGCCATCATCACTTCACCTGTCTGACTCTTCAGCTGCTTTTAGAGCCGCCGCCTGATCGCCGACTAACCGTCCACGAGTCCGTTTCATTGGTCAGTCTGAGAACACTGAAACATTCTACACTGCAAAGACTAAAATCTAAGTAAGATTAATTATCTTAATTGAAGGCAAAACATACTTGTTTTTTGTCTGACAAGACATTTCTTCTTACCAGGCGACTTTCAAGTTTTTTTGTCCTTAAGTAGCGAGTGAAATGTTCTTGTTCTGTTGGCAGATAATTTTGCTCATTTTAAATAATAGAGCTCAGTTTTTGCAGTGCAGGAGCTGCTAGTGACGGGGATCACGGATCTTTCTGCTCCGTTTCTTTCTGAACAGCTCTTCATTTAGTGCCGACACATTCTCACCTCCTCACATATGGACGCTTGGTCAGACCCCTGGCGTTGATGGTTAACGCCGTGGAGCCCTTTAGCCTCTTTTTCCACCTGTAGGGCTCCGCAGTCGAGTTAGCAACAATAAATATGCAATGTCCGGTTAAACTTTCAAAATAAAAGTACTTGTTAACGTTGCCAAATGTCAAATGGTTTGGTGAGGTCTAGGAAAATATCATGGTTTGGGTTAAAAATAACCACGTTACCTACGTCAGATAAATTGCTTAAGTTAAGTAGCATAACTTACATCACAAAATAAAAACATTCAGTGTTGACTTTTTGTTTCACACAGGAAATGAACACCGGTCTCCTAGCTGAAAGTCTGGTTTCTGGCCCACTTGTGTTGACTCACGTTTAATCTCCTACACCTACCTTTAACGTTCAAAAGTGACGCTACAGGGCTTCTCCCAGGGGCTCTACAGTGCGTGACGCCAGGGCGTCTTGACCAGAAACATCCCTACTGATGACATCCTGTACTTGGACTCTTTACAGATACATGCTGTATTTACTCTTAGTAAATTTATCCCGCTGCGCCTCGCCAGCAGGCCGGAACAGGGGTCTCAGGGGCTTGTTGTGCTAGCACAGGGTTTCAGGCCCAGTGGGGAATACTGTTGGAAAGCGCCCTCGGAATGAGCTTGGCGAGTGGGCAGCAGAACCAGGACCGAACACAGCCTCTGAGGCTGGAGGAGGCCAGTTTGAAGACAGGAAGTACAGTATGAGGGCAGCGGCTCCTGCCAGGACTCTGACTCCCGGGACAACGGAGACTCAGCGGGTTCTGACGGGAACAGTGAATAAATGTTGAGCTTCTGGTCGGTGACGGCCGGCGCAGCGTGCTGCTTGTTAAATGTAGAGCTTAAAGGTCATTGTTTTGGTTTTGTGTTTCGAACATAGCTCAGCATTAACGATGTTACTGAATCAAACCATCTGATGCCTCGTAGCAAATATTTCAATCACTGAATCTAACGCCATGTTAGTCTGGTGATGTACCAGGAGAACAACAAGGTGTGTGTTGATGATATCATCAGTCACCTGTTCATTGATGACGTGTCCAGTCTCTTCAGACACGCCTGGCAGAAGGCGTGCCCGCAGTGCAGTCGCCGCGGCAACCGGGTCGCCAGGTCGTAACTGCCAAAGCACACGATGCAGACGAGGTCCTGCCTCCTCAGTGACATCAGCGTGTCCACCGCAACAGAGGAATGAGGAGGGGGGAGGGGCTGACAGGTGACCTCCTCCTCCTCAGCGGCTTCTTCTTTTCTGTCGTCGGACATCGTGTTCTGGTCAACAAGAGAAGAAACATTTTTTATTAATATTAATATGTTCTAATAAAATCTCACGTAACGAGCCACATATAAACACGATTAGTACTGCGAGCAGCCTCGGACTGGAAGTCAGGTGTCCCGCTCACTTGGCTACTATGACGACGACATGACCTTCCCTGTCTGCCTGTGATTATGTCAAGTGGCCACATCACGCAGTGCATTCTGGGGCGGCCCTATATGAGCCGCACGCCTCTGGCTAATTTACATAGTTGAATTTCCTGTATAGACAAAATGCACATAATCTACTGAAGCTGAGCAGTGTCTCCTACACTGTTTCCTACACTGTTTCCTACACTGTTTCCTACAGTGAGCAGTGTTTCCTATAGTGTTTCCTACAGAGTCTCCTTCAGTGTCTCTACAGTGTTTCCTACAGTGTCTCCTACAGTGAGCAGTGTTTCCTACAATGTCTGCTACAGTGAGCAGTGTTTCCTACAGTGAGCAGTGTTTCCTACAATGTCTGCTACAGTGAGCAGTGTTTCCTACAGTGAGCAGTGTTTTCTACAGTGTCTCCTACAGTGAGCAGTGTTTCCTACAGTGAGCAGTGTTTCCTACAGAGTCTCCTTCAGTGTCTCCTACAGTGTTTCCTACAGTGTCTCCTACAGTGAGCAGTGTTTCCTACAATGTCTGCTACAGTGAGCAGTGTTTTCTACAGTGTCTCCTACAGTGTCTCCTACAGTGAGCAGTGTTTCCTACAGTGAGCAGTGTTTTCTACAGTGTCTCCTACAGTGTCTCCTACAGTGTCTCCTACAGTGAGCAGTGTCGTCTACAGTGTTTCCTACAGTGTTTACTACAGTGAGCAATGTTTCCTACAGTGTCTCCTACAGTGTTTCCTACAGTGAGCAGTGTTTTCTACAGTGTTTCCTACAGTGAGCAGTGTTTACTACAGTGTTTACTACAGTGAGCAGTGTTTCCTACAGTGAGCAGTGTTTTCTACAGTGTCTCCTACAGTGTCTCCTACAGTGTCTCCTACAGTGAGCAGTGTTTCCTACAATGTCTTCTACAGTGAGCAGTGTTTCCTACAGGTTTTCCTACAGTGAGCAGTGTTTCCTACAGGTTTTCCTACAGTGAGCAGTGTTTCCTACAGTGTTTTCTACAGTGAGCAGTGTTTCCTACAATGTCTCCTACAGTGAGCAGTGTTTCCTACAGTGTTTCCTACAGTGAGCAGTGTTTCCTGCAGTGTCTCCTACAGTGTCTCCTACAGTGTTTCCTACAGTGAGCAGTGTTTTCTACATGTCTCCTACAGTGAGCAGGTTTCCTACAGTGAGCAGTGTTTCCTACAGTTAGCAGTGTTTCCTACAGTGTTCCTACAGTGTCTCCTACAGTGTTCCTACAGTGAGCAGTGTTTTCTACAGTGTTTCCTACAGTGAGCAGTGTCGTCTACAGTTTTTCCTACAGTGTTTCCTACAGTGAGCAGTGTTTCCTACAGTGAGCAGTGTTTCCTACAGTGTTTCCTACAGTGTTCCTACAGTGTTTCCTACGGAGCAGTGTTTTCTACAGTGTTTCCTCAGTGAGCAGTGTTGTCTACAGTTTTTCCTACAGTGTTCCTACAGTGAGCAGTGTTTTCTACAGTGTTTCCTACAGTGAGCAGTGTCGTCTACAGTTTTTCCTACAGTGTCTCCTACAGTGTTTCCTACAGTGAGCAGTGTTTTCTACAGTGTCTCCTACAGTGAGCAGTGTTTCCTACAGTGAGCAGTGTTTTCTACAGTGTCTCCTACAGTGTCTCCTACAGTAAGCAGTGTCGTCTACAGTGTTTCCTACAGTGAGCAGGTTTCCTACAGTGTTTCCTACAGTGTT